CAGCGCCAGTAGCAGGTGCAAGCACCAGGCAGGACCTCAGCACATGGAAGCAAAGAATTTTCAGTAATCATCAGAGGCTTGCCCTGATGACAGCAACTGGCACTCCTGCCTTGGTCTAGAGCCCTTGTTCACCTGCTCTACCTTCCAGCCACAGCCAATGCCCACCATGTTTTGTGCTCTGTTGTCTGCTGCCAATGCCCGCCATATCCTGCGCGTGCCCCCTGGTCGTCAGTGCACATCATAGCAACTGGCTGTTTCACCATTTTATTTGCATATTAGGGTTTTATATATAACTACAGGCCCAGTACATGAAAATTCATGCACTGGAGGGGTGTCCCTCACCCCAGTCTGCCCCCTCTCACAGTCCAGGATCCTTCAGGGGCAGGAGGTGACTCGGTGATCAGTGGAAGGTAACACCTCATTACATTTCTGCTGCTGCCACTGCTGGCAGCACAAGTCTCATCCCAGCCCTGGTTACCTGAGCCTCAGGCTGGCCCTGGATAGCTGGGCAGTCACCCTCCGAGGCTTGCCTGCACCTCGGGCATTGGCTGGGCAGCTGCCATCTGAGGCTTGCCTGTGCCTCAGGCTGGCCATGGGTGGCAAGGAGGCTGAGGGGCCGGGGAGACTCTGGAGGCAGGTGTATGGAGTGGCTGGACCTGCCTGGGGGTGGTCCAGCCATGCCACATGTATGCTGCCACGGCTGGGCTAAAGGGACTGGGTGCCACCATCTTGTGGCTGTGGGTGCCACCATCCTTGAGGAAATGGCAGTTAATTAGCATATTCCCTCTTTATTATATAGGATAGATAGCCAAGATATAGAAGCAACCTACATGTCCATCAATAGGTGAGTGGATAAAGAATATATGGTATATTTGTATAATGTAATATAACTCAGCCATAAAAAATGAAATCTTCCCATTTGTAACAACACGGATAGATATAAAGGGTATTATGCTAAATGAAATAAATAAAAGAAAGACAAATACTATATGATTTCACTTGTATGTGGAATCTAAAAACAGTAAACAAACAAAACAGAAACAAACTTATAGATACAAAGTACATTTTGATGATTGTCAGAAGGGTAGTTTGGGGTGATGGGAGAAGAAGGAGAAGGGATTAAGATGTGCAAATTGGTGCCCGGCAGGTGTGTTGATCTATGAACCAAGAGGTCATGATTTGATTCCCAGTCAGGGCACATGCCTGAGTTGTGGACTGGATCCCCAGTGGGGGGCAAGCAGGAGGCAACCAATCAATGATTCCCTGTCATTGTTATTTTCTATCTATTTCCCTCTCCCTTCCTCTCCAAAATCAAAGGAATATATATATATTTTAATTGAAAAAGACATGCAAATTCATTGTTACAAAATAGTCATGGGGTTATAAAGTACACCATAGGGGAAATAGTCAATTATCCTATATAATAAAAGGCTATATGCAAGTAAACCAAACAACAGAAAAACTGGTGGCTATGACATGCACTGACCACCAGCGGGCAGACACTTAATGCAGGAGTTGCCCCCTGGTGGTCAATGTGCCCCCACAGGGGGAGCACAGCTCAGCCAGAAGTCAAGCTCGCCTCTCCTGCCTCTGTGGCAATGCTAAGGACCCTCAGGGGATGTCCACCTGCATGCTTAGGCCCGCTCCCCTGCACTGTGAGAGGGTGCAGGCTGGGTTGAGCACCCCCCCCCCCCCGTGCCTGAATGTCATGCACTGGGCCTCTAGTATTGTAATAACTATGTATGGTTTCAGCTAGGTATTAGAATTATCAAGGTAATCCCTTTGTAAACTATATAAGTATCTGACCGCTATGTTGTACACCTGAAACTAATCTAATATGGCATGTTAACTAATTAAAAAAAAAGCTTAAAAATGCCTTTTATCTAAGGGAAATAAGGAAGGAGGGGGGAGAAATGATTTTTATATCAGACTTACAGTGTGAAGAGAACACTAAACTATGGGGTCAGAAAACATATACTGGTCACAGCCCTACCACTCACTGACTGTGTGACCTTGTATAATTCACTTGGTTTGACTCAGGTCTTTACTTCCTTTATCTATGAAATGGTCACTTGAACTATTTTTCTACAATGTCTCTTCTATTTTCCAAATAGTTATTCTAAAAACCACTATATTTTCTATGCTTTAAGAATTTTATCTACCTTAGGGGTGTCGAACTCAATCAGAGAAGGGGCCAAAATCTAAAATCCAGCCTAAATCGCGGGCCGAATGGTTTACTGAACAGTCATAAACTGTCATTGTGATGGAAATGCAGCGGAGTGCAGTGATGACAGCGCGGTGTGGGCCACATTGCAAGGCCTGGCGGGACGGATTTGGCCCGCGGGCCTTGTGTTTGACACATGTGATCTACCTCATAGAATGAAATGTCTGAAAAAACAGAAGATAAAATATGAACCCTAGTTTTCAGATACTAGAGTTAAAGTAAACATAGGCTAAATAATTGTCCCAAGATCACTCCAGAAGTTGACAGTATAGTTTCTTTTATGATTAGGTATTTGTCTAATCCTATGATATGAAAAAATTTCCCCTTACCTTCATTCCCAAAAAGGTACTTATATTTTCAAGATTGATACAATAGGCTATACTTTCTCTATCTCTTGCATATTCCTAAGCCCTTCCCCACCCCTCCTTTTGGCAGGGCACCTCCTTTCTCTCTCTCTCTCTCTCTCTCTCTCTCACCATTCCCTCTCTTCCCCCCTGAAGTCACATACCTTTGTGCACACGTTCTCTCCTAAGCTCCAAGGGACCTTCTTTTGCCTCTGTAGCTTGTTTCCTGAGCCCGTGCAGCCCAGCTGGCTAAGCTTTCTATGACTTTCTAAATGAACTTTTGCTTGTATTTGAAAATAAAGATTGATACAACAGGGGAAAAAAACATACATATTGGGGGAGAAACCAAGATGGAGGCATAAGGTAAACACCTATTCTGATGCATCGCACAACGATTTTACAACTGCAACTGGAAGACAGAGTGGACATCATCCAGAACCATCGTAAAGCTGGCTGAGTGGATATTCTACAACTCGAAGGAAAGAAAAAAGGACACAGACTCAGAGGATCTGTGGAGGTGCAGAGACCTGTTCGCGTACAAAGGGCAGGTGGCTGAATACACGGCTGGCTTACTCGTGGAGAGGGCGGGCAGCAATGCACGGCTAGCTTTCTCATTTGAGAGGAAAATAAAACCTCCTGACTGTACTGAAATCCAGCTCCAGGTGAGACTTTGGTACCAGACTCAATCGGTGAGAAACTGGACTGTTTGGCAGTGGGCAAAACTCGAGAGCCTTCTGTCACTGGTGCATGCAGCCATTGCCGAATGGGACACTGAGACACAGGGCCCTTTTAGGGTGAGACACAGGGTCCTCTTAATGGAAACCAAGGCTGTCTGCTCCACCCTGAGACTCTGCCCCATTCAACCTGAGCACAGAAGCCCTCCCAGTGGAGACACTGCTGATCCTCATAGCCAATTGGCCTGGTGGTCAACTCCCCCCAGTGATACCAACAACAAGCACGGCTTAACTACAACAATACTGCACATCCAGCCCACAAAGGGGTGCACCAAGAGTGTCAACCTCATGTAACTGTGGAGCCTGAGCTACTGGGCCCTGCTAGGACACCTAGCGCACAAAGCAACTCCATCAACTCAGGGAAGCACTAAAATGCGGAGACAAAAAGGCAGGCCACAAATGAAAGAAATGGAGGAAAGCAAAAGACTGGATATAGTGTTTAAAACTATGGTTATAAAAAATTTTTAAGAATTTCCTAGAAAAGGCTGATAAATTTAATTAGAAATTAAGCATACACTGACTGAAATAAAAAAATATTATACAGAGACCTAAAAGCAGACTAGAGGACTGCAAGAATCAAGTCAAATATTTGGGATACCAAGAAGCAAAAAACACTATTCTGGAAAAGCAAAAAGAAAAAAAGAATCTAAATGTTAAAGATAGTGTAAGAAGCCTCTGGGACAACTTCAAGTGTACTAACATCAGAATCATGGGGGTCCCAGAAGAAGAGAGAGTGCAAGATACTGAAAACCTATTTGAAGAAATAGTTACTGAAAACTTCGCCCACCTGGTGAAAGAAATAGACTTACAAGTCCAGGAAGCACACAGAACCCCAAACAAAAGGAATCCAAAGAGGACCACACCAAGACACATCATAATTCAAATGCCAAGAGCAAAAGACAAAGAGAATATTAAAAGTAGCAAGAGAAAAACAGTTAATTACCTATAAGTGAGCACCCATATGATTATCAGCTGATTTCTCAACAGAAACTATGCAGGCCAGATGAGAATGGCAAGAAATATTCAAAGTTATTAATAGCAATAAACTACAACTAAGATTACTCTACCCAGTAAAGCTATCATTCAGAATCGAAGGGAAGATAAAGAGCTTCACAGATAAGAAAAAACTAAAGGAGTTCATCACCCACCAAACCAGAATTATATGAATTGCTGAAGGGGGTTATTTAGGAAGAGGAAGAAGATAAAGATAAAAATTATGAATAACAAATATGTATCTATCAACAGTGAATTTTAAAACTAAGAGGATAAAAAATCTGATGAACAACATTATCTGGTGAATATAAAAAATCAGGGGCATTGAAAGCGAATGGACTGACAATTCTCGGGGGAAAGGGGGAGTGGGGGTGTGGGAACAGACTGAACAAAAAGTGTACACCTATGGATGAGGACAGTGGGGGGGCGGTAAAGGCAGTGGGTGGAGTAGGAACCTGGTGGAGGGGAGCTATGTGGGGGGGGGGGAAGAGGAACAAATGTAATAATCTGAACAATAAAGATTTATTAAATTATAAAACATACATACTACAATTCTCTTATGCAATTTGCTTTTTGCTTGATAACTTGAAATGAGTTTGACTACCTGTAATTAATATATATATATTAGGCCATTCAGATAAGCTAGAAAATAGATGGTATCACATTGAGCTCTAATCAGTGTTAATCATCTTATTTTTCCTATAGCTGTAAGATTCTGTGACCAGTGCCATTTGATCAAGCCAGATCGCTGCCACCACTGCTCTGCCTGTGCTATGTAAGTGATAGCTATATTTTCCCTGGACTAAGCTTTGCAACAGATCATTGGCAAGACAACAATGTGACTGATCTTAATGTGTAACCATTCCTAGATAAGAGCATTTCCTTTCAATTATAATGAGCACATGCCAAACACACTCATAGGGATGATAATTCAAACTATTCTAAAGATAGAAGAGAAAAATAAAGTCTCATTTAAAAAATAAATATTTTAGCCTTACCCAGTTTGGCTCAGTGAATAGAGCATTGGCTTGCAGACAGAAGGGTCCCAGGTTCGATTCTGGTAAATGGCTCAACCTGGAAGCAACCAATAGGTGTGTCTCTCTATCTCTCCACCTCCTTTCCTCTCTCTCTAAAAATCAATGGGATTAACAAAAAATAAAAATAAACATTTTTAGAACTGTATTAGATGAATAGAATTATTCTATATAATATTATAAAAGGCTAATATACAAGTCGGCCAAATGGCTGAACAACAAGTCACTATGATGCACACTGACCACCAGGGAGCAGGTGTTCAATTCAGGAGCTGCCCCATGGTGTTCAGAAGCCAGGAAGGGCTGAGGACCCCTTGGGACCTGGCAGGCTGACATCCCCCAAGGGGTCCCAGATTGTGAGAAGGTGCAGGCCAGGCTGAATTGACCCTCCTTCCCCCCAGTGCACAAATGTCATGCACAAGGACTCTAGTTTTAAAGATAATTCTCATAAGTCTCACATAGTTTCCCTATTATTAACAGCTTATATTAATACTAGAGACTCGGTGCACAAAATCTGTGCATAGGTGGGGATCTCCTCAGCCCATCCTGCACCCTCTCCGATCCGGGACCCCTTAATAACTGAGCGGGACCTATAAATACGTCAAAGGTAAACAATATCGAGAATGGGTAGGACGTATGAATACGTCCTTGAAATATATGTTGCACCCCGAGAGGGACGGTATATATTTTTTGTATTCTTTTAAAAAAAATATTTTATTGACTTTTTACAGAGAGGAAGGAAAGAGGAGGGATAGAGAGTTAGAAATATCGATGAGATGAGAGAGAAACATCGATCAGCTGCCTCTTGCACACCCCCCACTGGGGATGTGCCGGCAACCAAGGTACATGCCCTTGACCCGAATCGAACCCGGGACCTTTAGGTCCAAAGGCCGACACTCTATCCACTGAGCCAAACTGGTTTCGGCTATTTTTTGCAATCTTTATCATTGTTTGTAAAATTTATAATATTTTAATTCGACGTGTCCATTTTTTTTGTCGGTAATCTTTTCTAATTTTTTTTTGTAATTTTGTATTTTCCTTTGTGCTTTATATATAGGTATAAATAAACAAATATATATATATATATATATATATATATATATATATATATATATATATTTCATTTATTTTCATTAAGTATAAATAAATAAAAATAATATGAAATTACGTCCTCCGGGCGTGACGTACTGACACGTCCTAGTGAAAGAGTACACGCCCATTATAGGTTGCACCATTAAAAAGGGAACTCCCGGGTTAACAGGTTAAGGGATATCCAACTGTCAGTTTAGGCCTGATCCCCAGGATTGGGTGTAAACCAGCAGTCAGACATTCCTCTCACAATCCTGGACCACTGGCTCATAATCGCTTACCTGTCTGCCTGGTCGCCTCTAACGAACCCCTGCCAGCCTGATTGCCCCTTACTGCCTCTGAGTGCTGGCCTGGTTGACACTTACTGACCCCCTGCCAGTCTGGTCACCCCCAACTCCCAACAGCCTAGTTGCCCTTCATTTCCCCCTGCTGGCCTGGTCACCTCCAACTGCCCCCCTGCTGGCCTAGTCACACCTCACTGCCCCTCCTATCAGCCGAATCCCCCACAACTGCCCCCCTTCCATCCTGGTTGCTCCCAACTTCCCCCCTTTGCTTGCCTGATTGCCCCACGCAGCCTCTGTTCAGTCATTTTGTGTTTCTCACTAACCACCCTGCCATCCTGGTCATAGGCAGCCATCTTGTGTTGATGTGAGGGGTAATTTGCATATTACCTCTTTATTATATAGGATGATAAATTTGTTACAATTAATGAACAAATATTTATACATTATTTTGGACTTAAATCCATACTCTATTCAGATTTCCCCTAATGTTCTTTTTCTCTTCCAAGATCCCATTCAGGACACCACATTACATTTATTTGCCATATCTCTTAAGGCTCCTCTTAGATGTGATACTTTCTCAGAATTTTCTTTCTTTTATATAACCTTAACAGCTTTTAGTATTGTCAGGTATTATGTAGAATATATTTCAGCTGAAATTTTTCTCTAGATTAGACTTGGGTAATATGTTTCAGGGAGGATAACCATAGAGGTAAAGTACCATGCTCATTATATCATACATAGGGTACATAATATAAATATGACATCATTATAATGTTAATCTTGATCATCTGGGTGAGGTAGTGTTTGTCAGATTTCTCAATTATCAAGTTACTCTTGCCCAGCCAGTGTGGTTCAGTGCTTGAACATGACCTACATACTAGGATATCATGATTTGATTCTGGTCAGGGCACATGCCAAGGTTGCATGCTCAATCCCCAGTACGGGGAAAGCAGGAGGAAGCTGTTCAATGATTCTCTGTCATCATTGATGCTTCATTCTCTTTACATTTTGTGTTATAACTCAGTACTACATTATTTTGTTACTCTATAATTGTTCCAGCTTTATAAAACCACACTTTTATGTTAATTGGGCATAATCTTCATATCTTTCTTTTCGGGTGCTTGTTCCACTTGTATTTATCTTGCCCTTGATTCAAACACAGATGTAGCCATATAGTTTCTTCCATAGTTTTAATTAACTGTATATTGAGCAAAATGAAAGGCAATATCCTAGACCTTTTCTCTGTTTTAGTAGTCTAGATTTCCTAACCCCTTTTATTTTTTATTTATTTTTTATTTTTTTTAAATCAATCTTTATTGTTCATATTATTACAAATGTTCCTCATTTCTTCCCCCCTCCACCAGGTTCCTACCCCACCCTCCGCCCCCTCCCCATCCCCCATTGTCCTCATCCTTAGGTGCACAGTTTATGTTCAGTCTCTTCCTCCCTCCCTTTCCCCGATAGTAAATCCCTTTTCAGATAGTAAATCAGTTACTTAGCATTTTCTCATATCAATAATACCTCCACATGCCCAATGATACACTTCACACAAAAGACATTTTCAAATAGGTCAACCAGCCTCATCCAGGCCCCACCCAAGGCACTCACAGATCAACACCCCAGCGCTATACTAACTCAACACATCCAGATCTAAGCCTTCATCACTTGATTCAGCAGACCCTCAATTTTCCGCAAAAGTTTCCAGCCATGTCTGAGAGGCAGCCGCGGGGCAGGGGCAGGCAAGGAGCGAGCTGTTCCGGGCCTGGCTGCTCTGGGCCTGGCCTCTGTTGCTCTGGTTCATTCCACAACCAGCTGCTCCGGGTCTGGTCACTGCCGCTCCCGACCTAGTTGCTCTGGACTTGGCTGCTGCTGCTCCGGGCCTGGCCGCTCCCAGCCTGGCAGACACTGCTCTGGGCCTGGCTGCTCCCCGCCTGGCAGCCGCTGCTCCGGGCCTGGCCGCACCAGACCTCCCAACCCCTTTTATAGATTGGATTTTTAGGAATGCAACTTGTTGCCAGCATGATTCTATAAATTGTTGTGATTGGCTAATACAAGGAATAACTGAGAACACAATAATCTTAGAGTAGCTATAGAAATAAATTTACTGGTACCATGCAAAAATACTAGTGTGAAATTGACTTAAATTATGAGGTGTTGCTTCATTTCCATAGCCCTACTTATCACATCATATTTTGCTTCCCTTTTAGGTGTGTTTTAAAAATGGACCATCACTGCCCTTGGTAAGTCCCTTTTATTTTATTCTTTGCTCAAAAAAAGAGTTGAATTTGCTTAATATGCCTACTTTAGTAAGCATAGTTGTAACATGCCTGTTTCTGTTATTCACTAGGATTTTTATTTTTGTGAGGGAAAGGGGGTTTAACATTTTAAATCAAGAATAAATATACCATAAAAGGTATCATGATAATTCATGGGGCTACAAAGCTAATGGTTTCATGTCGATTAGCTTTAACAATTAGTCATAGTAATGAAATAGAGCACAAATACTTCTTCCTTTTAACATTACACAATCAGGTTTTTTTTTTTTTTTTTCCTGTCTTGATGTTTGAAATACTGTAGATTGTTAGCATCAACAATTCTCCAAACTTTTTGTCTGATCTAGAGAACTAGTCTGAAATCATCTAACTACAAAGAGAACATTCCACACTGTACTAAATGTAGCTGCTGAGATTTTAATAGGTTTTCAGCATCCAAGATCTAGGTTTGATCAGATGTGTCAGAAAGATGTTCAGAACAATTAGATTGATCAGGTATATCTGTCCGTGAGAATGAAAGGAAGAACAAATGAGATGTTAACTTGTTTTTCTAGATTGTTCCTCTTATGGGAGTTTTATTTCCATTGAATTTCTACACAACACATAATGAAACAGTAGGAGCAACATACTTCCATTGCTTAATTCACTTATGTATCAGTGTGCTCTCAATAAATGGGTCCTGATTTCAAAATAGTTTTTCTTTTTTCTTTTTTTAGGGTTAATAATTGCATTGGATTTTCCAACTATAAATTCTTCCTTCAGTTCTTAGGTTATTCTGTTCTCTACTGCCTGTACATTGCTACAACAGTCTTCAGCTATTTCATCAAATACTGGAGAGTAAGTTAAAAAATCTTGAGTTCCTTGCCTCCCCCTAAATCACACAAACACACACATACTCAAGGCTGTGACATTTTTTAACTTATCTTTTATTACATTTTGAAATAACTAATATGGAAATAACCACAAAGGAAAGCACCAAAAGCTAGTTTCCCATGCTGAATATTCTGAGATTCAGGAGCTGTTATTTAAAGATTCCTCTTTTAAAAGTTCCTGTCATATATGAGAATCTTTTTAAGGCCTTCAAGAACCTAACCTCTTGATTCTTACTGATTCTTTACAATGTACTTCTTTAGTTAAGCTTTAAAAAGTAAAATACTATCAATTATAGACTTGACAAATGTTGAAACAAATTCTACATTCTTAGTTTCATAAGAAAAGGAGTAACAAAGTACTTCCTCATTCTTAGAAAATACTTTCTAATTACTTGTTTAAAGGAGAGTTGCAAAATTCCTACAGGGAAAGCAAGATACATTAACTTAACTTCACATATTGCCAAAATGAAATGAGGAGTTTTATTTGAACTTTGTATAACAAACACTGGGATTCTAATATTGGCTCTGTTACTTGATTCACAGACTCATTAACAAAATCAAGTGAAACAGTTGTTGGAAGTACTCTGCCTTTCAAAATATGATTCTTATAATTATAATGAAATATAAAGAAACTCTACTTTCATCTTTATTCTACTTGAAGTTATCCATCATAACCCATCTATTTCCAAAATAATTGAGTGTAGATTTTTAGTTTACATATGTGTACCGGTTCTGGCAGCAATATAACAAAATATTTTGTTTTATTTCATGCCAATGGACTCCAAAAAACATTACCTCCCTACAACTCTAGTATAATTACTAAGATATCATAACGTTCCATGAAGAGAATTGTCCCACCTGAACCTGAATAACAAGAGACAGAAGTAGGCAGAGGTAGTACTAGTTATTATTTTAGGAATTGCACAAGAGCCTGTACTATAGGAATATCTTACCTCAAGTAGAGAGGTAAAGCAGCAGGGAAAGAAACCTGTGACCAGAATATGGATTATAATAAACCAGGAGGGAGGGAAGAGAAAGGCACAGCAGTGAGATTCTAGGTAGCTGAGATTTAAATTATTAAATAGTGATTTATCCCTACTTGTATAGAAAATTATAGTGATACTAGAAGCCCAGTGCAGGAAAATTCATGCCGAGCCTGCACTCTCTCACAATCCGGGACCCCTTGGCTAGGGTCCCTAGAACTGGCCTGAGATCAGGGCCTATTAGGGCTTTCCTTCTGGGGCTGCAGGCAGCTGGCCCCACCTCTGCCGCTTCCACTGCTTGCCATCTGTGTAGCACTGCCCCTCCCCCCAATCCCCTGCCACTGGTAGTCTCCCTCTGCAGGCAATAGTCTGGGGTGCAATGGCTTGGCTGGCCTAGGCTTCCCTCTTTCTTTGCTGGGGGGTGGGGCCAGCCCTCTGAGGGGCTGTCTGCCTATCTGATCACCCCTAACTGCTTGCCTACTTCCATGATTAACCCTAACCGCAGGTCTGCCTACCTGATCACCCCTAACTACTCTGCTTGCCTGCCTGATTGTTCCTAACTGCTTGCTTGGGGGCAGGGCCAGTCCGGAGGGGCTGTCTGCCTACCTGATTTCTCCTAACTGCTTTCCTACCTACCTGATCACTCCTAACCACTTGTCTGTCTACCTGATCACCCCTAACCCCTCTGCCTGTCTGCCTGCCTGATTGCCCCTTACTGCTTGCTTGGGGGTGGGCCACCACTGACTTCTGGTTGGTTAGCCCCCTGTTGTTACTGGTCATTACAACCCAGGATTTTGATATATTAGGATTTGCTTTCCATTCTTCCTTCCACTTGCTTAATCAATTCAGATATTTAATAATATTAAGAATCAGAAAGAATATAATGGATATAGAAATCTTCAACTCTTTTTTAAAAAATATATATTTTATTGATTTTTTACAGAGAGGAAGGGAGAGAGATAGAGAGCTAGAGAGAAACATCGAACAGCTGCTTCTTGCACACCCCCCTCCGGGGATGTGCCCGAAACCAATGTACATGCCCCTGACTGGAATCAAACCTGGGACCTTTCAGTCCGCAGGCCGACGCTCTACCACTGAGCCAAACCGGCTTCGGCTGAAATCTTCAACTCTTGTATCAGTGTACATGATACAAAAATATAAACAGAAATAAAGTTTTCTCATCAATTTTGTATTTTCCCCAGATATAAAATGCTTCACCATCTTGGTATTTCTTCATTGGTCCCTTTCTATAACACATGATCTCTTACCTATTGCTCAGGTTTCTATGATATGTTTGACATTGTATTCACACATTGTGCTACTACCGTGAAAGTAAAGAAAATAACTGCATCCAACTCATTAGGCAAAATGTCAGCCTTGGTCTTCACTAATGACTTTATTGGACCTTATCACAGTAGACTACTGTTTAAGAATCACTCTTTAGCCGAAGTCAGTTTGGCTCAGTGGTAGAGCGTCGGCCTGCGGACTGAAAGGTCCCATGTTCGATTCCGGTCAGGGGCATGTACATTGGTTTCGGGCACATCCCCGGAGGGGGGTGTGCAAGAGGCAGCTGGTCGATGTTTCTCTCTCATCGACGTTTCTAGCTCTCTATCTCTCTCCCTTCCTCTCTGTAAAAAATCAATAAAATAAAATAATAATAAAAAAGAATCGCTCTTTATTCTTATAACCGACTAAACGATTTTACATTTTACACATTTTGCCTTTGGCCTTCCTAGACAGCCAATAACCAAATACAAAATGTCAACCAGCAATCATGCATATGTGTTGTTGGTGTTGTTTTTTTTAACTCTTGAAAGATAATAGTTGGACATGAATCAATCACCAGAAATATGTCAGTATTCACAAGCAACATCAGGAATAAACATAGACTTGTCCTTTCCTATGCCTTCATTTCTTCTCCACAATATACTAGCTTATGCCTGACATACGAGAGAAAGGCAATTAAACTTATTTTGTCTTGCCCTCATAATGAAAAGAACATTCAGAGAAATGCTTCTTTTCAGTTTCCCTAGCCAGAGAGCACTTTGATGTGTTCTAGAGATGGCTTTCTCAGTGTAAATTTAGTCTCCCTTAAAATTAAATATAAACACTGCCATTTATTATGTTTTCTTTATTTTATTTTTTCCATTACTATTTATCCCTCTATACCCTCTTCTGTTGCCATTCACCTCCTTTCCCCTCACAATCACCATACCAACCTGAACACTTATCTGACATTTATTTAATTTTATTTTTTAAAAATCTGTTTTATTGATTTTTTACAGAGAGGAAGGAAGAGGGATAGAGAGCTAGAAACGTCGATGAGAGAGAAACATCGACCAGCTGCCTCCTGCACACCTCCTACCGGGGATGTGCCCGCAGCAAAGTACATGTCCTTGACCGGAATCGAACCCGGGACCCTTCAGTCCGCAGGCCGACACTCTATCCACTGAGCTAAACCGGTTTCAGCTGACATTTATTTTAAAAGCTACGTATCAAGAAAGCTAGTTGTGCTCCTAAGAACAGCAACATCTATTTCTATGGTACTTTACTATTTTCAAAGCACTTTTATATCTATTATTTCATTTTATCCTCACCACAGCCTTGTGAAGTAGACAAAGTAGGAATCGTTAGTCTCATTTAAAGATTATAAAACTGAGGCTCATAGTAGTTAGGTAACTTGCTTGGGATCACCCAGCTTATAAGTTTCAAAGTCAGGATTTGAATCTGACTCAAAGCCCATTCTTCCTTCCACTGATCTTAAACATGGTACCATATCTTACTGTCCATTATAGTCCTGCTGTGGAAAAGCTCTATCACATTTAGAATGAAGAATTCAGAAGATCACCACATTATGTCTTTCCCATTAATAATAACTTTAAAGAGTAGCTACTTTGTTAGGAAAAATTAGTAACTTACATCTCCCATTCTGGGTCATGAATCTCTTCATAGGGGATATGAATTATTTTAGAACCAAGAAAATACATATTATTCCACTAGTATTCCCCTGAAATGTTTTTGATGGTTATTACTTTGAGTAATTTAGCTTGGTTATCTTCTGAGAAGTTAATTTTAAACATAAGGCCATTATCTTCTAACAAAAAAGTTAAATATTAAGTACTTTATCAAGAGACAATACAGTAGATATGATTTGGCAGACACAAGAGAGTTCTGTAAGAGTAATTAGAGCAGAGAAAGATTTTCAGCTCTGTCACCCAGGGTGTAAACTGACTTTATATAAGTTCCTCTTGCACAGTTATTTATTTCCCATTTATTTATTTAAAATTTTTTTTAAATAAATACTTATTGCTCAGATTATTACAATTGTTTCTCCCCCCGCCCCATAGCTCCCTCCCGCCCGGTTCCCGCCCCACCGTCTCGTCTGCCCTTAACTCCCCTCCCCACCATTGTCCTCATCCATAGGTGTACAATTTTAATCCAGTCTCTTCTTGAACCCCAAACCCCTTTACCTATGATAATTATCAATCCACTCCCTTTCTTTGCCCCTGATTCTATTATATTCACCAGTTTATTCTGTTCCTCCGATTTTTAATTCACTTGATTTTTAGATTTACTTGTTGATATATATGTATTTGTTGATCATGATTTTTATCTTTTTTCTTCTTCTTCCTCTTCTTAAAGAATACCTTTCAGCATTTCATATAATATGATTTTGGTTTGGCGGTGATGAACTCCTCTAGCTTTTTCTTATCTGTGAAGCTCTTTATCTGCCCTTCAATTCTGAATGATAACTTTGCTGGGTAGAGTAATGTTTTGTAGATTCTCGCTATTCATCACTTTGAGTATTTCTTGCCACTCCCTTCTGGCCTGCATAGTTTCTGTTGAAAAATCAGCTTATAGTCCAATGGGTGCTCCCTTATAGGTAACCAACTGCTTTTCTCTTGCTGCTTGTAAGATTCTCTCTTTGTCTTTTGCCCATGGCATTTTAATTATGATGTGTCTTGGTTGGTCCTCTTTGGATTCCTCTTGTTTGGGGTCTGTGTGCTTCCTGTACTTGTAAGTCTATTTCTTTCACCAGGTGGGGAAGTTTTCAGTCACTATTTCTTCAAATAGGTTTTCAGTATCTTGCACTCTCTCTTCTTCTGGCACCCCCATAATTCTGATGTTGGTTCGCTTGAAGTTGTCCCAGGGGCTCCTTACACTATCTTCAACTTTCTGGATTCTCTTCTCTTGCTTCTCCAGAGGAGTGTCCTTTGGCTCTTTATATTCCAAATCTTTGACTTGATTCTTATGTTCCTCCAGTCTGCTGTTGTATCTCTGTATAATATTTTTTATTTTAGTCAGTGTATGTTTAGTTTCTAGTTGGGTCTCATTAAATTTATTGGCCTTTTCTAGGAAATTCTTGAAAAACTTTATAACCATGGTTTTGAACTCTATATCCACTCTTTTTTTTTCTCCTCCATCTCTTTTGTTTGAGATCCATTTCCTTGTGTTGGCATTTTCGCTGCTTCCCAGAGTTGGTAGGATGGCTTTGTGTGTTTGGTGTCCTATATGGCTCAGTGGGTCAGCCTCCCCAGTTACCTGAGGTAGACACTCTTGGTGCTCCCCTTTGTGTACTGTGTATACAGCCTTGTAGTTAAGTCTTGATTGTTGTTGGTATCACTGGGAGGAATTGACCTCCAGGCCCATTGGATGTGAGTATCAGCTGTGTCTACTCCGGGATACCTTCTGTATTGGAGATAGTTTTATAGGATCGGACTTGCAAAAGCCTCTGTGCTCAGCTTGAATAGGGCAGAGTCTAAGGGCTGAGCCAACAATCTTGGCTTCCCGTCAGCCCTGCCCTTGTGCACGAGCCTCAGACTTCTGCCTTCCATAGCTCCCCTCATTTTCAACCTGACTGTCCAGATTCCCTGTGCAAGAGCATGGGTGCCCCAGGGGCTTGCCCGGAATTGGGTTGGGTCTCTGTAGTCTGAAGCTTCTGACTCCTTCCACTATGGAGAGGCCACGGCAACTTCCATGGTCAAACCTCTCTATGCACACTCACTTGCGCAACTGTAGACCTACCTGCCTTGGCTCCTGGCTCCCTCAGTCTCCCAGTCTCTGAGTCTCCAGGTACCTTTCTCTATAGTCTGGACTCCACCTGTATGAGCCTGGGTCCACAGGGTTTTGGCCAGGGTTGGGGTTCAGTGCAGTCGGAAAGGGTTCAGTGCAATCGGGGACTTCCTTTCCCGTCCCGCCAGCCAGGCATTTGGCAACACTTCCTCTCTGTGCGCCAGTCTCCCTACTTCAGCACTTTGTGGCTCCCAATCTGATCCGTGAGCCTCTCTCCTTCTTTCTAGTTGTAGATTTTCCATTCCGCCAGCTTTCTTGTGGTTTTGGATGATGTTCGTTCTGTCTTTTAGTTGTGGTTTTGAAATTGTTGTGTAAGGCGGCAGCTTTAGGTGCTTACCTAGGCTGCCATCTTGGTTTCTCTATTTCCCATTTAAACATAAAAGGTAAAAATTAAAATAAATGAGTTTTAAAAGATTTTAAAAAACGTATTTAAAAAATAGAGATGTGAAATAAAAACCCAGCCCGGTAAAAACCCCTACAAACTGATATATTTGTTTCCTATAAATTCAAAATAAAACAAACAAAAACCATTCAAATTCAGTTTGGATGCTTAGGCCAAGAACAATCACTTCAAAAGGCAGCAAATTTTATGCAATTTTCACCCAGTCCACCCCTCATATGAAAGCATCTCACTGGCTTACTTTCCTTTATCTTTAGCCTTCAAACACACACAGGAAGATTCCCAATATTTCTTCACATCTAAATGAATAAAAATCTCCTCTAAGAGAAGAAATAAATCAGAACTATCTAAATTTGCCAAGTTTTTCCCAACCTTAACTTTCTTTTTCTAAGCTAGAGTAGAACCAGATCAAAATGTTAGGTCCACTTTGAGAATTAGCTTTAACTTTGTCACTTGAGATCATTTGTAAATATTTCAAAACAATTCATCAAGCCCAAACAATGACCAGCAAGAAAAGGAGGGGATAAAGAAAAGTCATTACCACAATTTCTCACTCCAAAATTGAAATTTTTTTCTAAGATTACCTAGAGAAGACAAAATGTTATGAGCTGTGCATGCTATAGAACTTTAGAAAATTCATTTTGGTCTAGGGTTGCATATTTAAAAAAAGCAACTGGTGACACATGGAGAATAAGATGTCACAGCTAACTATAAAAATATTTAGCTACTTGCTTTTAAATTACCTTTTAAATCTGCATAATTTTACTGTCAAAAGAGTAATTTTACAGGATGTAATATATGAGCACATTGTACTTCACCACACACAACCATACAAAATTTGTAGTAGCTTTAAAACAAGTTCATGACTTATAAGCAAAACATTTTAAAAATTCTTCCTATGTGTTTTAACTTCCTACATATACCATCATGACATTTTTAAAACATACATATGCATCCAAGGAAATATGACATATAAAGTATTCCAGAGTAACCTACCTTGAGACAATATGATCTCAAAATTACCTTTAGTCGGTGATTCATAATTTAGAAACTAATTATAAAACTAAGACATTGCTTACCAATTAAGGACTAAGTATACTCTTTATATTTTATCTTTTTCTAATTGGTACACTATATACTCTAATTTACAGTGACCTACACTTAAGCAAGAATCCATTTTAGGCTTTGCAAGCAGAAAGCATATCTATAAGAGGCATGGTCATCAAAAGAAAGTTTTTACAAATTTTACAAAATCTACTTTTTAGTTACAGCTAGACATTTTAAGCATATGAAAGATTACTAACCTTTATAGAAAAACTAGCCGAGCCTTACAACTTTAATATTTTGTTTCTGTTTATTATTTCTTTTCTAGGGGGAATTACCCAGTGTTCGCTCTAAGTTCCATGTCCTTTTTCTCCTATTTGTGGCCTGCATGTTTTTTGTCAGCCTTGTGATCCTCTTAGGTTATCATTGTTGGCTTGTCAGCAGAAACAAAACCACCTTAGGTAAGATGGGATATTAAGACTACAAAAATAATTTTAATGTATATCATAGTGATCTGTGGATTAACCCCAAGAAAGCGAAAAGCTTCCAGTGAAGCATTTTAGCTGCAGTGACATTCATTTGCCCCCTATTGAGATAAATGCAAACAAGTTTTACCAAACAGGAGAGCCATGGTGAATGAAACTTACATAGGGAGGAGAACATTAGTGAATGAAATCTCACACAAAACAAAAAATGACCATAGCTCTTTATAGTTCATTTTGGGTAATAGCTCTCTAGATTTACAGCTTGGAATTTTTATGTGTTCACATGAGGAAATGAAGGAAAGAATCAGTACAGAAGAAATACCAGAAGTTGGAGGTAAAGGTCAATAAAGATAGAAGAATCTAACTTAATGAGCACCTACAAAAATAGAGTCCTAAGAAAGAATTCAAGCCAAAAAAAAAAAAATTGAATATCTACAATCATTAAAGGAGCTGTGTAGGGAATGTGGGTGGAGATGAACAGATTGAACAAGTGAGTTACTAGAAAATGAATATAATAAATTAACTTTTTCTGTCTATTATACTATACTCTGGTCTGTTGTTTGAAGAACTATATTTCTGATGGATCCCAGTGTAAATTTTTTTAATCTATGGTAAACAAAATATTTACATTGTATGCAAATCAACTCAGGATAAGTGAAGAGAAAATGTCAAAATGTTGAATGTTTAGCTAAAATAGATTTGGAGAAAGTTTAGTACAAAATCCATTATACTTTTTAAACTCATTTGCTAATTACACTAACAGGTAAGAAGGCATTTGCACTCATTTTCCAAACCAAATATATATGTAGCACTTAGTTATTAGTATGGCAGATTAGCACTTTTGGTTTAGACATGCTGCAAAGTAGAAAAGAACTAAAAGATTCATGATAAAAGAGTCTGAAAACAAAGAACAAGTAGGAAATGATTAGATGCAGCCAGAGAGCCCATCAGTGAAAGTATTTGCTTAATGGAATAAATGTTTTTAAATATAATATGCACTAATATGGTTAAATTCTTCTTAGTCTTTAAGTCTGATTATAGTTCCCCCATTCACATTTTTTTCTGGAGTAAAATTCAGCTTCTTACAGTGTGAACATTTTCATTCCTGAAATGTTTCAAAATCAAATCTATGTTATTACTATATCTTTATGTTATTGCTTTGGTCCCAGTTCTATAGATGGAGACCATTTGGCTGTTGTTGCCAATAAGATTTAAATAAAGTGCTGTTAAATCTATTATTTTACTCCTTACATGAAGCACTAAAAATATATATATTATGCCCATGGCTGTTTAATTTTTCTACCATCATACATTTTTCTGCCTTAAAAAAAAAAATAAACGAGACTACCAATTCTTTGTATTTAATAACAAACTTACTTTGTGGTAAGTGGTTAAAATAGTCTTTACTAAATAAATAAGAATGAAAATCCTATGCTACCACAGCAGAAAGGTATCATAAAATCAAGTTGCATTCATGGAGAACTGTAAAAACATGACTTTCCTGAAACTTTCCCCCCCCCTTATTGTTTTCTTCCTCTTTTATATTTAACTCCCCTATATGTCCCAGAGGCCTTCTGTACTCCAGTGTTTATAAGTGGTCCAAAGAAAAATGGGTTCAACCTTGGCTTCATCAAAAACATCCAGCAGGTGTTTGGAGACAACAAGAAGTTCTGGTTAATACCTATTGGGTCCAGGTAGGTAATTATTACCACTAAAATAAGTTGATGTTGGACCATACCTTGAAGAAACAGATTCAATTTTTATTGTAAAATGCAGCAGGTATCAGTTCAATGTAAAATTTATTCCCTATGTTTTCCATTTCTAAGTTAGCAAAGACAAATCAGGAGGTAAATGTATGATAAAATAGGCATTCTTATGCCATTTTTCTTTTGTGAGTGTAAACTGGTACCACTTTTTTATAAATGATTTTTGTAATATGCACTTTAAAATCCTAAGAATCTACAAAGCCATTGTCTAGATACAAAAATGTTTGCCACAGCAATAATTAGGATACAACTTAAAGGCTGAGAATATGAGAATGAATATATATATATATAAAATAATGGTTATAAAGACTATGTCACAATAAGGGAAATGATTATTATATTTTAAGCTGTAAAAATTAGTGGGGATTCTGTATAGATGAGATGGAGGATTGCTATAGACCCAGGCATCTTCTTAAAGGTCCTGAGTCCGACTCAATCACAAAAACTCATCCTAAGCTTGAGTGAAGAGATAGCAGTTAAAAATGTATCAGGGACACATGGGGATAAACTGAATTGTTTGGCTTCAAGGCAAGAGCTTGAAGGGCAGCCACTATTGTTCCTTTGTTGAGCCCTCTCCCCACACTGACTGCAGTTGCAGTCAGGCACCAAATAAGAATTTGCATTAACCTGGTGAAAACCCCTGGTCAAACCCTGGTGACTCCCTGGGACCCCACCCTATCCAATTTCAGCACTACCCGAGTCTCTTTCAGCACTTGTTTCTTATAGGCAGTGGATTATAGCCCATGCTGACGACTCTTAAAAACTCTCAAAGCTCCACAAGCCCCAGGCAGGTGACTACTGGCCTTTGTGTGACTGGTGCCTCTTTCTGAGTGGTCTAAGTCCTAGAACTGGTGTCAGCTGGCCTAGGTAGCATGGCATCTCTCATGTGACTCTGGGAACAGTGTAGGCAAGTACCAATCATACATCACTTTGTAGTTTCTAACAGGTGGCCCTAGGGGAACACAGTAAGAGGCTGAGCTGGGCTTGCACCAGAGCCCATCAAAAGAAGCCACAGAACAAACATACCCAGCAACCAGGTTCAGACCACAAAAGAACACCATCAAATTGGCTTCATAAACAACATACCTAAAGGGTGGTCTTAGCAGTTAGTGGAGCACCAATGGGGTAAACCCTGCTCTGTGGGGTCAGCCCACATACAACAGCTCATACACTATGATCCTGACCAAGCCTCATAGCTAGTCAACCTTTGTGTCAACCACACCTACTCATAGGCCAACAGCAGTCAAGGATCAACTATAATAGGAGTGTACACACAAACCACACAAAAGACACTCCAGGAGTACCTGACTCAAGTGACCAAGGAGACTACATCACTGGGCTCCACATGACACATACTACATAAGATCACTCTTCCAAGACTGGTATATATAGCAGATCTACCTCATACATGGAAACAAACCCAGAGAGGGAGCCAAAATGAGGAGACACAGAAACTAGTCCCAAAGCAAGAGCAGGAGAAATTTTCAGGAAAAGAATTAAATGAAATGGAGGCAAGTAATCTATCAAATACAGAGTTTAAAACATGGGTTATAAGGATATTTAAGGAACTAAGGCTAAGAATACATTATCTCAGTGAAAATATTACCATAGAGAAAGGAAATATATTTGAAAACCATAATAAACCATTAAAAATAAGTCAGAAATGAAGAATGCATTATCTGGAATAAAAAATAAACCAGAGAAGCAAGATGGCAGTGTAAGTAAATGCTGGTACTACTGCCTCCCACAACCACAGCAAAATTACAACTAAAATGAAGAACAACCATCATTCAGAATTGCCTGAAATCTGGATGAATGGAAGTTCTACAACTAGATAAGAACAAAACACAAGTCTGGTAGGAGGGTCAGAGGCCCTGAGCAGCCTGATCTGACAACCACCTGTGGTGATTTTTACAATCAGGAGTGATATATCCAGTTCAGAGGCCTCCCATGAGAAGCAAGGGGTCTAAGCCCCACACCAGACCCCCAGCCCAGGTTTCCAGAGCTAAAAAAAGAAGTCCCCATAACTTCAGGCTATAAAAACTGGCAGGGATTGTGGCTGAGTGACAAGGAGGCTGTTGGAGTCCTAGGCAGTTCCTCTTACAGGGCCAGTGCATGAATTTATAGGGTCCTACTCTGTCTGATCTCCAGCACAGAGTGGCAGCATTGGGGGAACCAGGGACATATGAAGGGGAACTGGATTGTCTGGCATTGGGCAGAAACTCAGGGATAGTTTTCTCCAAGATGGGAGTACTCACAGAGATCATTGTTCTTGTGCTGGGATCTCCAACATCACAGAGCTGACTTGCAGCCATATCTGAGTTTCCATCAGTGTGGCTCACACAGCTCCCTCCACATTGGTGAATCCCTGAAACCCCACCCCATCCAACTTGCAGCCCCACCAAAGTGGCTTGCAATGGCTTTTCCATAGGAAAGGTCTATCCTGGCTCAGGCCTGAAAATTTCCTGAAATCTGTCAAACAAGCATCAGCTGGCATCAGCATGCCCCATACCTATCCATAAGAGGTCCAAGACCTGGCACTAGCAACAGTGTACTTTGCTTCACAACTTGGCTTCACCTGTGCACTTCTAAGCCCAATACAAATAGCAGCTATCTGAAGATCACTCTGTAGCTCCTCCCAGTGGCCCCAGCAAGTGGCTGACTTTGCACTTCCCAGGAGGCCACAGAGTCAGTGCACCTGGTGGACAACTTCAGACCATACCAGATTATAACCCTACACATCCACAAATGGCACACTCAAGGGGCAGGCTCAGTGAGCACCAAAGCCTCATTGTAGCAAGTCCTGCTCCATATGGGTGTCTCCTACACAGCAGCTCTTCCACTGTAATGCAGCTGATCCTCACAGCCAATTGGCCTGGAGATCAACTCTTCCCAGTGACACCAACAGCAATGAAGGGTCAACTACAACAAGTCTATACACATAACATAAACAGGGGCACACCTAGAATGCCCAGCTCAGGTGACTGGGGAGACCAAACCACTGGGCTCTACAGGGCACCTGCTACACAAGGCCATTCTACCAATTCCAGGAGACATAGCAACTCTACTTAATGCATAGAAACAGACACAGGAAAGTAGCCAATATACAGAGAAAAATAAATATGTCACAAATGAAAGACCAGAAGAAATCTTCAGAAAAAGAAATAAATGAAATGGATACAGAGTTCAAAACAATGGTGATAAGGTTGCTCAAGGATCTTAATGAGAGCCTCAATGAGAGCTTCAAGGGACTTTGTGAGACTTTCAAGGATCTGAGTGAGAATTGCAAAGGCATGAAAAAGGACCAGTCAGAAATTAAGCACCGGCTGAAGGCCCCATGACCCCTATAGTGGGTTGCTGCAGAGTAGTACACCACCCTGGCTGCAGGCTCTAGAACCCCCTGCAATGATTGGAAGAGTCATGTGCCACCCCACCATGGGCTCCGGGACCCCATAGCGAGTCCCAGAGATGCACACCATTCCAGCAGCATTTTCCAGGACAGCACAGTAAGTCATATGCCAGTGGGACTTTACAAGCAGCTATTACTATGGGAGCCAGGACCCTGAGCACATCCGCAACAGCTTGCACGACAAGTTTGGAGCTAAACTACATAGTCTGTCAATCTATGAGGAGACTCCATCCATGAACAGTACAATAACATTCAAGTCCCAACTACATTAGGAGAACCCAAATAACTCAAGTAATGGGCTTTCCTAGAACACCCAGATCGGGAGATCTGAGGCTGCACCACTGGGTCCCACAAAACACCTACTACATAGGATGACCCCCAAAAATCTGAGTGGCTTAGCAATTTGATCTAAGACATAAAAACAAATACAAAGGGAAAGAAAAAATGGGGAGAAAAAGGAACAATCCCCAAATGAAAGAAAAGGAGGAATCACCAGAAAAAGAACTAAATAAAATGGAGGCAAGTAATTTGTCAGATAAATAATTCAGAGTAATGGTTATAAGGATGCTCAAACACCTGACAGAATTACAAACAACACAATGAGAATTATAAGGAGCTGAATGAGAAATACACGATGAACAAAATCAAGAGGAAGTGAAGAATGATATAGCTGCAATAAAGAACACAATGAAGGTTTCATCAGTATACTAGAACAATTTGGGGATCAATTCAGCAACTTAAAAGACAAGGTAGAAAAAACACCCAAGCAGAGTAGCAATAGAAAAAAATAAATTAAAAATCAGGAGGAGAATCTAAAGGAGCTTTGGGACAACATGATACAATACAATATCCTCATAATATGGGTGTCAGAAAGAGAAGAAGATGATCAAGGAATAGAAACTCTGTTTAAAGAAATAATGTCAGAAAACTTTCCTGACTTGGGCAAGAAAACAGTCACACAAGTCCAAGAAGCACAGAGAGGACCAATCAAGATAAATGCAAAAACTGTGACTGTTCCTGGTATTGATTGCATTGTTGGCTGTACAGTGCAACCATAGGTAGTCACACACATCAAAACATGGTTCCTGCCGACAGAGTCTGTATAGTTATCAGATTTTCTGTGCGATGGCTCCATACATGTTAAAAAAAAAAAAAGATAAATGCAAAAAGTCCTACACCAAGACACAGCATAATTAAACTGGCAAACATAAGACAAAGAAAAAATCTTAAAGGCTGCAAGAGAGACATAGGAAATTACCTACAAGGGATCTCCCATTAGATTATCAGCTGATTCTCAAAGGAAATAGATCAGGCCAGAGAGAATGGCATGAAGTATTCAAAGTGTTGAAAAACAAGGGAATTATCCCAAGATTACTCTATGCAGCAAAGCTATCATTCAAAATTGAAGGTGAAATCAGGAGCTTCACAGACAAAAAAAAAAAAAAAAAATCAAAAAAAAAATAAAGGAGTTTAATACCACCAAACCAGCAATGCAAGAAATGCTAAAGGGACTGTTGTA